AAAAAAAAAAAAAAGAAAAAAAAGAGAAAGAAAAAAGAAAAAAGTCTGATTATTTCGTTAAACGTAATTTATCTTGACGAATTACTCTACTTCATCGTGTAGCGCAGAGAGTTGCAATTTAATTGAATATCATCGATAAACAAATATACTTTGCGACGAATTTAACGAATTACACGTTGAAAATTGTACGAATCATCCGAACGAAGTAGAGAATATTATATTTTTCGTCAATTTGATGAATCGCGGATTGGGATTCTTGGGAAATATGAAAAAAAAAAAATCCAGCAAATTGCTATTGGCAACGTGATCGCCAGCGTGACACGAGGGAACTCGATTGCTCTCATTAAGGAAGCTGAACGTGCAACGCGATCGAAATTTCCACGACGAGGCACGCGCAGCACGTTTTACCCGATATTTATGACGATTTATCCACTGATACGGATCGCTAATGTCACTAGATTCATAGAGAACCGCGGTGAAAATGTAACGTATATAGCCGGGGCATTCAACAGGTTGACGTCGCACAATAAAAACTTTTAAGCGGTCGATACTTCTTTAAACATCGCTGCGAACGTTAGATAAGAACGTTAGCCCGTTGCCATCAGCCGAAACAAGGTCAAACTAATTTGGTACTAGAATTTATCTACTCGCAGTGAGACTTTTAGGCTTGGTGAATGTTTTATTCGTCAAATAATGCATATTGTCCGACTCGTGGGAATTTTCTTTGGGATTGAAACGACCATAGTCGTCCAGAATAAAGTCTCCCATTCTCAACGAGCCCTCAAAATCTGCCCTGCGATTTTATTGTCGCCGTTTTATCGAACTTCGAATGTTAGAGTCAGGTGAAAGGGTTTCGAGAAATCTCAAAGTGTCTATGGACATGCCTAGAAAAATTAAAAAATTATTTTCATGGTTAGATCAATTACGATCTTGAAGATTTATTTACGACGAGCCTTTAAAATGAGTCCTACGATTTTTCTTCGATATTTTATTGAAGTTTGAATATTGCGGTTAAACGCAAGAAAGAAATCCAAAGTTTCATCGTTTACGAACGTCTCTGGAAACGTTAAAAAATTTTTCTCACAATTAAATCTACCATAATCTTGAAGATTAGAGTAGCTCTTACTTGCTGTATGATTTTTTTCGCTATTTTATCCAAGTTTGAATTAAACGAGAAGAATTCGAGAGAACCGAAACATTTGATCGTCTAACCCTAACGTTCAAAGTTCAATGAAACGGCGAGAGAGAATCGTAGAGCATGTATTAAATGTGTTCGTTGTGAAAGGAGGGCTTCGGTTTTCACAGTCGCGAGTAAAATTCTTCAATGGCTCCGGAGACGTTTGAATATTAACTATTCTCGAAATACAATAAATGAGCTCAGAATAATTGCGAAAGTGGAAGCTTCTATGTTTAAAACTCTTATTATGCTCTAACGATATCGACAATTTTTCATCGTTGTCAAAATTTCGCCAACGTCGTCACATTACGAGAACGCGGGGACAAAAACAATCGCGCAGCCGAAATTATAGTCGAGATTCGCATCGATTTGGGAAACAAACGAGCCGCGCGGCGTCTCGCAAACGGCGTCACGTGTAATCTCGTCACCGACGTGTCGTGTCGAAGAAGATATACCCGGCAAACGGAGAGAGAGAGAGAGAGAGAAAGAGAGGAAAATCCAGCGTACACTTCGATCGGGCTGCGTCGTTAACGATAATTCGATAGTCGTCGTCGGGCCGTTGAATGCGGAGGAGGAACGACTTTCGCGGATCGGATCGATGCGGAAAGAGACGAACGCAATATCGCACGAACGCGTACGTAAAATTGAAGCGTGATGCTCGTCAACGTGACGAGCCGAGAGCAGCCAGAGGATTGAAATCCCCCCCACCGTACTTGAACAGGCAGGCAGAAATATGGGTGAGATATCAGTTTTATTGGATTCGGCAATTCTTCGTCATCGATTTTTCCCTCGTTATACTTTCGCCGATCTGAAATTCCGAAGCGAGCGGATTTTGACGGAAATTCGACGAAAATTTCGAATCCCGTCTATCCGGAGTCTATCCGGCGATCTGTTTGTTTTTTACAATGAAAACCTTAGGAGGCGACCATATTCCTTTCTTTATCGTCAGAATTTGTGTCTGTTTGTTTCGATGATCAGCGGAGATCGTGAGGTTCATGTTCGCCATAATGCTGTGCGTTGCCAACATGATCATCTACGGGCTGAAGGTGAACATAGCGACGGCGATCGTGGGCATGGTGAAGGCTAGAAACATCACCGCGGTCGACAGTGAGCCCCCCGAGTGCGACTTCGAGGACGAGGCGGTCGCGACGGTCGACATAGACGGACCTTTCGACTGGTCAACGACGGAGCAAGGCCTGGTCGTCAGCATCTACTTCGCCGGTTACCTCGTGGGCATGTTCCCCGCGGGATACTTCGCCGATCGGTAAGCGAAGCGGTACAAACGGTACAAAGATCGACTCGATTGGAAAAGAATTCTCTCAATCTTCTAAGCCTGAAGATTTAGAAGTCTTAGGTTGTCAAGATCTTAGGTCGTCGATCCTATGTATTTTTCCAGCTTCAACACCAAGAACGTGTTGTTGATCTGCGTGCTGGCCAACGCGATCCTCACGCTGTTGGTGCCGATATCGGCTCCGGTGCTCGCGCTGCTCCTGACCGTGAGATTCATCACGGGCGTGCTGAGCGCCGCGAATCTGCCAGTGGTGAACGTTCTCGTGGGCAAGTGGATCATCTTCGAGGAGAAGAGCATGTGGGGTGCCATCATCTACGCCGGGATATCGCTCGGCACCGTGATCTCTATCTTGAGCTCCGGCCTGATACTCAACTGCTTGGGATGGGAGGCGGTATTCTACATTCACGGCACGCTGCCGTTGATCTGGTGCGCCGTGTTCTACTGGTTCTTCGCCGACAATCCGGAAACGCAAAAGTACATCAGCGAGGAGGAGAGACGCAGGATCGTGACCAGTTACGGGCACCGAGGGCCTGAGTCCACGAAGATGGCCGTCCCGTGGAAATCCATATTCACGTCGGTACCGTTCTGGGCCCTGATCTACACCAACACTTTCGGCAACTTTTGCTGGTACTTTCTACTGACCCAGCTACCTTTGTACATGAACAAGATACTGAGGTTCGACATCACGTCGGTAAGAGAGATCTCCACTTAGTTGGCAACTTAGCTGGCAAAGTGGATTTCGAAGTTTCGATATCTGTGAATTTATTTTGGTATCCGGTCATTTAGGAATTCGGGAATTTAGATACTTGTGAATTCGGGCATTCGAGAATTTAGAAATTTGGGAATTTGGGAGCCCAGGTGTTCGAGGATTTTGGCATCTACGCTGTCTGGCAATTTACGATTTCAGAAATCTGGAAATTTAGCATTAACTTGGAAATTTGATGATACGGAAATTTAGAATCCCGGAAACGAAATTTGGAAGTTCAAAGAATTTGGAATTTGAAAGTTAAGAAATTTGGAAACTTGCAAACTTGATTATTTTGAAATTTAGAAATTTAAAAATTTGAAAACTCAGAGACCAAGAAATTGAGAAGAATTTTAGAAATTTAGGAAAGTTTGAGATTTTAAAATATTTAGTTATTAGATAACCACTGCTATTATTGTAACACTAAAATATTTATATATTTCACGGAGATAACGTCGAACCGTCTAATTTCGAACCGTTCAAATGTCGATTTTCTTATTTAATTGCGCAGAATGCTTCCCTGAGCTGTACTCCATATCTGATAAATGCAATAGTGAACCCATTCCTTGGCAGATTACTGGATTGGGGCAGAGCAAACCAGTACTGGACGCAGACTCGTGCTCGGAAAATCGCGGTATTTATAAGTAAGCTTCATTGTGCAATTTACAATTAATTACTTGGAAACTTGGGAACTTTGAAACTTCAGATCTCTAGAGAGACTAATAAAATTTCGTAATCTAGAAATTAAGAAAATTTACAAGTTTGGAAATTCAAGAGCTTCGAGGCTCGAGGAATTTTAGGAATCTAGAAATTAATAAATTTGGAGATCTAGAAATTAAAAAAATTTACAAGTTTGGAAATATAGAAATTCAGAAGCTCGGAATTGTAGAAATTTGCACGTTTGGTAGTTCAGTAGTTTCGAAGCTCGAAATTTCAGAGATCTAGAGAGATTAAAAAAATTTGCGAGACCTGAAAATTCGAAGTTTCAACGATTTTTACCATCGAATCTATCATAATTGTTTCTTTCTTTAATTTCGCAGGCTGCATTCCACCGAGTATATGCCTCCTCATAATCGCTTATATCGGCTGCGAACGGACAATTTCCACGATACTGTTGATAATGAGCATAGTATTGTGCGGTGCGATTTTTGTTGGGCATCTCATCAATCACGTTGATCTGGCACCGAACTATGCTGGAATCTTAATGGGCATTACAAACACTCCCGGCACAATTTCTGCATTTGTTTTGCCTGCTTTGGTAGGCGCGCTCATGGAACACGGGGTACGACGAATATAAAACACATCCTTATTACACCAATAATAAAAATATAACGTCCTTTTGCAATACCTCAACGTAACATTTGATATTTTTACTTTCTCTATACACTCTTCTTACACGTGAATATTTACATCGTAGCACGCTATGGCAAGATGGAGGATAGTTTTCTGGATCACTATTGTCGCTCAATGCTCTGCGTTCGTTGTGTTTTCAATTTTCGGATCGGCAGAAATCCAAGAATGGAATCAGCAACCAGAAGCATAATGGTAAGGACGAAACTTCGAACGACTAACAATTAATTCAGAAATTGTAGATGAATATGTTTCTCCGAAATAAACGTAAATGAACATCTCATCGATCGTTGTTTACGAACTACTTACTGCTTACTCTTCACGGATTATCAGAGATTTTTTTCTCTTAGAAAAATCGTCATTAACAGCACTAAGTGAATTTTCTTCGGCCACAAAATTTACTAACTGCGTGGAAATACGCACGGTGAAAATACTCGCGAGTGCTAAATATCGGAAATGAACAGCTATGAGCGAGTTCAACAGCTGAACGTTCTTCGTTCACGGTATTGCTTCGCGAATGAAGAATGGAATGGTAATTGGCAACAAGGCTGTAAGCCCTGAAGCTGGCAAATAGAGCAATTCGTTCAATTTCCGCGAACTCGAAATCTTCGTGAAATTTCCAGGTAGACGACGATAAAATGCGAGAGAGAGAGACACGGTTTCGAGCACTCTTTTTCTCGAGACGACACGGTGGTCTTTGATATCTGGTCTCCACTGCAGGAAACGTTTCAAACGAGAGGGGAAATGACTTAGCTGTAATCTTCCGTTTTTCAACGGCGAAGCACGTCGAAACGACCGAGGCTATAGCACCGAAATAGATTACAAACGTAATATTTCAGCCGCCATAAATATTCTCCGTTAAAGTTGCCAAGAGCTTCTTCCCTTTCGTTGCATCTCTTTGGATGTTTCTTTTTCAAACGAGAGGAACGGTAAGAGAGAGAGAGAGAGAGAAGCTTTTGCGGACTGCTGGTCGCCAACGCGGCGATCTAATTGGGATAAGACGGATTTTTGTACCAGGTGGCCCTTAATTGGTCGACCATCATTACGGGTGGTCTCGCGGTTCTAATTACTGCGCGCTCACCTTTGCACGCCGACTCTCTCTCTCTCTCTCTCTCTCTCTTTTTCTCTCTCTCCAAAGATTTTCACCAATGTGGAATTATTTATAACGACCACCGCTTTGATAACTCGCGCCGAGATCGCGTTTCACGGTTTTGTTCGGTTCTGCGCAATTCATGAGGAATTCGGTGACTCTTGATTTGATGTTTAGGTTCGTCTCGAACGAAATTTTTCGTACACTTCTTCCTGCGTTTCAACGAGGGCTTCCCGTTCCCTCTTGCCGTTCAACGAATGTGAATGTGTTGCGTAATTATTATCAAACATGATTACTAGATGTACGAAGGTTTTGGAGATTCAAATATATATTCAATATCCAAAATATTTATAGAAGTTTCGAGAGAAAACCATCTCGTAATTTTAAGGAATATTTGAGAGCTCGATAGATTTCGGCACAAGTGAATTAGTAAAACTTTGTGATATTTCTCTAATATGTATTAATCTCTCGTGACAACTCTGTAACATTTCCGAAAAAATGATAAATAGTTTACACGCACAATTGTTTTCGCGTTTATTTTTTATCGATGAACAAAGGATCCATCAATCGAACAGAGCAAGGCAAGACCGGTCTTTTTGTCTCAAGCGGCGTTAGCTGAAAATTAGAGAGAGAGAGAAAGAGAGAGAGAGAGAGAGAGAGAGAGAGAGGATCTCCTGGCGAAAAATTATGGTAGACCTCCGTTAAACAGCCGTCCCCGTCAGCCGACAATCCGTCGAAGAAGCTATTAATCAAGCGTAATTAAGGCTCGGCTGATCCTTCGCCAGGGGATCGAGACGTCGACTCGTTTGCCCGGACTTGGCAGAAGTGGAGTTGCTCCGCGCGTCGCTCCACGCCACGGTTAATCAATCCTGAGGCTCGTTACAGTCGGGCCTTCGAGCCAACCTCCAAGTAGCGTCAACGCATCCAAAGCGACACCGAAACGCCAAGGATTGTTAATCTAGCGGTGCGTAACGCCGACGGCTGCCACCCCCGTTAAGGATTCGCAGCTGCGTTTGCTTTACTCCAGCGGCGAAACGCTTTTGGAATTATACATAATTCCGTTTCTAAATTATCGTCTTTCCTTTTAAATGTACGTGTATCCGTATAGTTTCCTGGAACTAGATGATTTTTTCGCGACACTCTGCGCGTCTTCGCATGATTTTGACAATTTTTAGAGTTTCAAGTCCACTCCAGGAATTTTAGGAATTTCAGGAATTTCAGAAACATCAGGAATTTTCGGGAATTCGATTTTTCAGAACGGACCGAGTCGAAATCAAAGAGCCGAAGAATCAAACGTCGCGTCGTCGGGTTAGCATCGCGTTTTCAGTCGACGCCGGCGCGGCGTCTCGTCGCTTCCGTCTGGAACGTCATGCGAACTCTTATTAAAGGTGGCGATTTATCGCTGGTAATAACGGTGCGGTCTGCCGCCGCGAATGTGTCTCTCGATGTAAGGTTCGTAAGTGACACAGGGGGAAGCTGCCTGCACGAAACGTTCCGCTTCGAGAGTTCAAAGTGTCGAAAAGTATGGGTTCATTCACGCTCGATTTTGCCTCTGCAACCGTGCATACGTAACACAGCGTGCTGAACCCTCGAAACTTATCTCCAAAGTTATTTTACAACCGCGAGGATAGAGTATCCGTTCGTAGGAATAAAATTTAACGCTCAATCAACTAAACTGATTCGAATTTACTAAGAATGAAATGAAACGATGCACCGTTTTTGCATCTGTTACATCAAACTCAATTTGTTTGACAATTTTTTTGTTCGATGATGTTATTTTGAATCCGCAATTATCTAATAACATAGAATACAGTATCGTAAGAATTTTAAATTAGACCTATCGCATTCATCTCCAAGTATCGTCAAACAAACAAATACAATCAGTCGTTTAAATTTAAATTTACTAGTACTCTGGTATTGTATTACACATCTTTGCTGCCTCTGACGAATATTATCGAAATCATTCGACGAAATTAACGTATTGAAAATATAGTCACGAAAATCATCATGGGCTAGGTATTAAAACGTGCAAACACGAGGCACATCTGTTTGTAATTTTTTTGAAAAAAGGGCAGAGGAGGTAGAAACGCCGGAAGGGCATTAGGAATAGTTAATTGCGTAGAAAGAGGTTATCGATTGCTGTTCGACGTGGCTGCTCGGACGGGAATCTAGGTCAGTGCTATCAAAGGGTGGATTGGATGTGTGGAACAACTGAAAATGCAGCTGCTAACAGTCGGACCAGCACCACCCTTTTAGTCGTGAGACTGAGCTATTAAGGTCTCCGACGTGCCACGTGTCTGCACTTGAGCACCCCATTCACGTGCGTGTCCCTTATGTACGTGCACGATTCTCCAGCCTCGTATTCAGGCGCGAATGTGCCCGCGTTAATTTCGCGCATCCGCGTTTTCCACGATTTCCCCGAACCGGGGAACACAGAAAATAATCGTGCGTCGTGTGCCTCGAACTGCTACCATCTCTACGTGTATGATTGTAATTTTAGAACCTCGTGGCTAAAATCTTTAATATTTAAAACGGAAGAAAAAATGGTTTCAGTTAGATTTTAATTAGATCGTTGATTAAAGATACTAGCGGAATTAACAAGTACAGTCGATTGTACAGGTAAAATTAAATTTTCGATACGTAGACACACGAATATATAGAATTTATAATTTCCTAAGATATCTTGGAACAGAGGTGGCTAACTGGCGGCCCGGAGGCCCTTGCCCCCACTCCTCTGATCGCTAGCGCTATCCCCACCACTGCATCGATCTTTCCACTAAGTTCCACTCTCTCATTTTGTTGATTTCCTTACCAAACTGGTGTCAAAGATCGAAGCGAAACAATAGCCTCTCGAAAACAGTCCTGTCAATCTCCAATCTATCCAAATTTTACAGTCACTTAACATTTCCATTTTATCCAATGCTTCAATTAATATCATTCCGAAGTCCAGTTCCAATTTTATTCACAATCCCAGTCAACGCGACCAAATCACTCCAAAATTATTCACTCTCTCGAGGAACTGCAACTTTCTTCCACTCGCAACTATCGGCATTAAACAGCCCGAGAGCTATAGCGGATCGCTTGGTAAAATATGAAACTCAACGACAACTAATCTGCCCCGGAAGTTCGCGGTAATGCAGCCCTCGGCTGGTCCGTAGAGAATCGAAGGAGAGGAGGTTTGCCGGCGGTTTGAAGCCGGTCAATTGGAAACGGGGTGACCGAGTTTCGACATCCCTTGCCTCCGCTTCATCGTCGTCAACCGAGGCATATCGAATTCTTCGCTGGACTCCGTGGAATGCCTCGAGTCGACCTTCTCCCGCCGCTTCCTTTCTCATTCCTTTTCCGGCCGACCTCCGCCCCGCTTTTTCCTCCCGCTAAGGAAATAATCCGCGAATACTTGGCCGATCCGCGCGGGTCTCCAAGCATCCTCCCGGTCTGCCTCGCGGCGACCTAGTTCACGCTTTTGGCTCAACCTTTTGGCTAACGACCGGCCAACCGTTGGGCTGGGTACATAGTAATCTCCGTGACATGACGTGGTTCGAGAAGACAAAAATTTGAAAAAGATTTGAACAGTGATTGGAAGTAAAATGCAGAGACCGAGGCAAGAGATTAACAATTAGGCTGTTTGTTGCTGTTTCACGAGAGAAGACATTACGTTCCGTTGCATTGAATCGTATTTGGACGATTATTGAAATTTTCGAGGAACCTGTTCAGAAGCTGTTTCCTGTTAATTATTTAAATTCATCTCCCTCTAGTCTATCTGGAATTTCCATTATTTATAATCATTTAGAATTTATATGTTCCATTCTGTTCAAGAATTCAGAACTCACAGTATCGCGTTAAACTTGTTAAAATTGTACGGAATATAATCCGAAACCGTTGATTTAATTAAATTACTAAATTACGTAACAATTAAAAGTTATAATTTCGATTGAAATTAAGATCGCAACGTTTAATTAATGTAGATTGAAGTTTGAATGCTACTCGTTTAATTTTGTCCAATTTTCAAGCGTATTAGAGTGGAAGATCACGTGGTCTGTTCGTTATCGAGAACACGACAATCTCATTCGATCGTGAAACTACATAGAATTTCGGGTCCTTTATTTCTCGCGCTTTTAATTTTATTGGTACAGATTTTCATTGGGACAGAATCGTTTCATCAATTCGCGTGAATTAACTATAGAGCGATTA